ATCCCTGGTGGTCCAGTGGCATGGTGGGGCCCCCCAGGGCCGGATTAACATAGGGGCTGATGGAGCTGCAGCTCCAGGCCCAGGCCCATGGAATAGGCCCATTGATTTAAAAAAAAAAAAAAAAATTCACACACTACTCTTACGCTTTTATTTTATTGGCACAGCCAGTATTTGTGGCTGCCTGGCTGGTGATATTGGCAATACAAATGCTGGTATTTTTCTCAGTATAAACAAGAGATTACTATGCAATACCAGCACTGGCCAGTAGGGGTCGCTGTGTGTGGAGACAGGCAGGGATAGGAAGTTCCAGCATATCCCTCCCTGCCTCTCTCTACTCACTGATCTGCAGGGATGCAGCTAAAGAGAGTCCAGACAGCTTCTCCCACCCTGCAGAGACAGCCTACAGCTCAGGGAAGTAAGGGATGGGGGGAAAGCTGCAAGGAGACATGGGGACACTAAGGGACATTATGGCAGACAGTGTCCCCATGTTTCCCTGCCAGTATCCCTGGTGTCTCAGTGACCCCTAGTCTCCCAGTGTCTCACTGTCCCCATGTCTTCTAGTGCCTCCATGTCTCCCAGTGCCTCAAGTGTCTCAATGTCCCCATGTCTCCACGCTAGTGTCCCTAATGTCTGTGGCCGTGGTGTCTCAGTGTCCCCATGTCTCCCTGTGCCCCCATGTCTCAATGTCCCCCTGTCCCCAGCCAGTGTCTCTAGTGTCTGTGTCCCCATGTCTTCAAGTGTCCCCTATTTTCCCAGTGTCCCCATGTGTCCCAGCCAGTGTCCCCTAGTTTCCCAGTGTCACGTGTCTCTGTGTCCCTAGATCTCCCCAGGTCTCCCCGTCTTCCTAGTGTCCTAGTGGCTCTGGAAGGGGGAAAAGGGATAAAAACTTTTTTCCAGCCCTGGGCGGGGAGCTCTCCTCCTCCGTTCCTCCCCGTCGGCTGAATGCGCAAGAGCTGAGTGCGCTTTCAGACGGTCGCATAGGAAAGCATTTGCAATGCTTTCCTATGGACGCTGGCGTGCTCTCACTGTGAAAATCACAGTAAGAAGCACGCAAGCACCTCTAGCGGCTGTCAATGAGACAGCCGCTAGAGGCTTTGGGGGAAGGCTTAACCCATTCATAAACATAGCAGTTTCTCTGAAACTGCTATGTTTATAAAAGAATGGGTTAACCCTAGCTGGACCTGGCACCCAGACCACTTCATTAAGTGGTCTGGGTGCCTAGTGTGGTCCTTTAAGAGGGATGTATGGGAACAAAACTTGTGTGGACTGGCTGACAATGAATATAGTTAAAGGGACACTATAGTCACAAGAACAACTACAGCTTATTGAATATGTTCTGGTTAGTAGAATCATTACCTTCAGGCTTTTTGCTGTAAACACTGTATTTTCAGAGAAAATGCAGTCCTTACATTACAGCCTCGTGATAACTTCACTGGCCACTCCTTGGATGGCTGTTAGAGATCCTTTCTGGGTAATGGCTGCCTAAAATGCATCCAAACATTCAGTGTCTCCTCAATCTGCATGCAGACATTGAACTTTCCTCATAGAGATTCATTTATTCAATTCATCTCTATGAGGAGATGCTCATTGGCCAGGGCTGTGTTTGAATCATGCTGGCTCTGCTCCTGATCTGCCGTTTTGTCAGTCTCAGTCAATCCTATGGGGAAGCACTGTGATTGGATCAGGCCACCACTTCTAATGATGTCAGCACACTGCTTGTTTTTCCTGAGTCAAACAGCATGCAGAGATACAGCTTCAGGCTTGAATACAGTAAGATTTGTACTATATTTATGGAGGCATGAGGGGCCCAGGGGTTGTTAGATGGTGGTGTTAACACTATAGGGTCAGGAATTCATGTTTGTGTTTCTGACCCTATAGTGATCCTTTAAGGTAATGCTGACTTTGGTCTCTCTAACACTGTGGCATGTTCCCATTCTTCTAAACTCACTACATACAGCTTTTCTCTGTCCCAGACTATATACCAGGAGCGTGTGCCTGCTAGTAAGAAGGTAAGGAGACAAGTGGACCAGCGAGTGCTAGGGGACAGTCCTTTAGAAAGCGTTGAGCGAGCGCATCATTAGATGCATTTATGCCTAGCTCAGGGTGCTGTCTGCATAGTATGCCCTTAGTTGGCCAGCTGCATGATTGGCAGGCAGCCTGACATGCATTCATGCCAGGCTGGCCTTCAAATTCTTTGGGCAGACATGTCCTCTTTTTGGGCATGTTTGCCCCTTTTGGCAGGTTACTTGATTTGTGTCCGTGGCACAGCCTTTTACCGTGCCATTGACTTCCTGCTTGTCTGGACAGTGCTGTTAGGGGTTATGGATTTACTTGAAAGATGGAAACATAAGTTAGAGGGAGATTAGCATAGGGTATGTGTTTTTTCTTATAGCTGCTGTTTTCTTTCTCTCCAGCACCATCTCCATCAGATACATGACGCTTGGGAGTGTTTTAGTGTTTTTGATCGATATGATTCTTTAATTAGGCCCGTCATAATTGTCAGCACCAGGCCCACTGGGCTGTTAATCTGGCCCTGCATCCACTACAGACACTGCATCCACTAAACACATAGCATTTACTACACACAAAAACTACATCCACTACACAAACACATACTACATCCACTACTCAAACACACTCTGCATTCACTATACACACTGCATCCGCTACACAAACACACACTCTGCATTCACTGCACAAACCGTATCTAATACACACAAACACTACATCCATTACACGCATTCTAATTCACTTCCACTATACACACCACATTCAGTCCTGCATCATTGTCAGCGGACTAGGTAGGATTCCTGTGGGCAGGCATGGCGGGCAGTGGGGAGGGGGCGGGGCGCAGACCTTGTGCGGGGCCCCAACATTTCTGGTGTTCTTTCCACACCCTCCCCTGTCCCATAGTTTTCTTTCCACACCCTCCCCCAGGGCCGCCATCAGGGGGTGACAACCATAACGGTTGTCACGGGCCCGGCAGTCCTGGGCCCCACAGTTACTCTCTGCACATATATATAGCGATGATCGCTATATATATGTGCAGCCGCGGGCCCCCGGCTCCCTGTACTTGCAGAGGGGGCCCAGCAGACTGCAGGAGCACATTACAGATCTTTCTCTCTCTAACTCCAGCAAGACGTGCCCTCCCCTGTCCCATAGTGTCTCATCCCCCCATTGCTTAGTGCCTTGGTCCTCGATGTGTCTCCAACCTTTCTGGTAGCGTGGTCGTGCGGACCAGTGTGCACCGCTGTACAGGAGCTTCAGTTTCCTGTACCCGGCCGGACTTACAGGAAGTGCTCTCTCAATGAGCACTTCCTTTCAGTTTGGCCGGGTACAGATAACAGAAGTTTCTGTACCGCGGTACGCACTGCTCGGCCACGCTACACAGAGTGACAGGTAGGAGGTGCACCCCCGTTCTGCCAGTCACTCTATTCTAGCGCCTTCCGGGCCTGTGAGCCCTAAGGCGACCGCTTGTGCCGCCTTATGGACATGCCGTCCCTGGGTTTGTGGCTGTAATGGAGGGATAATAACTCTAAAGTTTATTCACCACTTTCTGGTGCTTACCTGCTTACCTTTGGCCATTGAGGAAGGAACCCCTGGTGGTCCAGTGGGAGATGCTGCTTATCTGTGATGTAGACAACTCCCTCTGGTGAGGGGAACAGAGTGTATCAGTGTTGCACTGGTAACCCACGGCAATGCTCTGATACAGTAGACTTATCTAAGATGGTGGGCACTAGATTCCTCCCCAAGAATTTTACTCCTCCTTATATAGTACAGACATATTCATACTGCTGAGCATAAAAGATTGGCACAGCTGAGTGACCAAAAAACATTTGTTGATAAAATACACTATCACCAGTCACTTTAGCTCAGAATGTGCACGGAGCTCTACCAATAAGTGGCTGCTGTCACTTTAGTGCAGGAGGTCTCTCAATAATAGGTAATTTTAGCTCAGAGTGTGCACTGAGATCTCACAGTAAGCTGTCACATTAGTTTATTTTATTTATTTATAAAATATTTTCCCAGGAAATATACATTGAGATTTCTCTCGTTTTCAAGTATGTCCTGAGTCCACAAAACATTGCATTGATATATTAGGGTACAATAAAATACAAAAACAATATTAATACACAATATATACAAAATTTAACATAGAACAGGTAGGAAATATATAATCAACCATAACACATGCATTCTGTTTTGAGGTATGTAGAGAGATATCTATTAAATGGACTTTAGGCTTGAGGAAGATTTTAAAGTGTGCGGGAGGTCATTCCATAATTGTGGTGCTCTGTAGGAAAAGGAGGATTGGGCCGCTTTCTTTTTGTATTGAGCTAGACTAAATAAAGTGCTGGTACTGGATCGAAGGTTATAGGAGGTGGGAACAGCTGGGGAGAGCATTCTGCTCAGGTAGGGTGGGAGCTCCCAGAAAAGCTCTTAAACACAAGGCTGGAAAAATGAAGGGTGCGTCTGGATTCCAGCGATAGCCAGTTTAGTTCTTTAAGCATGTCACAATGGTGGGTCCTGTAATTACATTGTAGCGCAAATCCGCAGAACGAGTTATATGTATTGAGTTTATTAATGTGGGATTGTGGTGCAGGTGCATATACCACATCCCCATAATCAATGATTGGCATCAGCATTTGCTGTACAATCTTTACCTTCACTGTAGGGCTTAGGCAGGATTTGTTTCTGTACAGGGCACCTAGTTTTGGATAAAGTTTAGATGCAAGTTTTTCTATGTGGAGGCCAAAAGATAGATTGGTGTCTAACAACATACTCAAATATTTGAAAGAGTGGACTGCGGTCAGTGTGCTATCCATCATTTGTTTTGATGGATAGGTCGGAATTGTATAATTTGTGTAATTTAGGTACTGTTCCAAAGATCATTGTGACAGTTTTGTCAGTGTTTATGAAGAGTTTTTGTTGTGATCCACTTTTTTACTTCTGTAAACTGGTATTGGAGCACAGCCTCAAGCTAAAGTAGATCGGATTTGCTCACATAGATTACTGTGTCGTCTGCGTACATGTGTACATTTGATGATTTGCAGATCATTTATAAATAATGTATATAGTAGGAGGCTGAGAATGGAACCTTGGGGAACACCACATGTGACTGTGAGAGGGAGGGAGTCGCTGTCAGAAATGGACACATATTGCGAGCGATCCAATACATGCAATCGAAACCAGGTTAGCTGACAATCACCAATACCTGAGTTTTTGCAGTAGAATGTCGTGGTCTACTGTGTCAAAGGCCTTTGCGAAATCAAGGAAAATAGCTCCAGTTAGGTCTCCTTGCTCCATGCCAGTTTGGATGTCATTGCAAACTTTTAAGAGGGAAGTTGTAGTGGAAAACCCGATTGATCATGTTACCGGGAAACTGGCGGAGGCCAAGCACAGAGAGATGGACACAGGTTTCTTCAGGAAGGAAGAGATCTTTATTCGATTCACCGACCGGGACTCAGAGGGACTTATGTCACCAAAAACAGCAAATATCTTGTCACATATTCATCCGCTTATAGAAATGTGGTTAATGACATTTACTGTCCACACAGGAAAAGTTGTGCCGAGCAGCAACCTAATCCACAGAAGGGTTAATGCTGAGCAGTAATTGTGCAAATGAAACC